ACACATCTCAACACATCTCAACACATCTCAACACATCTCAACACATCTCAACGCATCTCAACACATCTCAACACATCTCAACACATCTCAACACATCTCAACACATCTTCACACATCTCAACACATCTCAACACATCTTCACACATCTCAACACATCTCAACACATCTCAACACATCTTCACACATCTCAACACATCTCAACACATCTCAACACATCTCAACACATCTTCACACATCTTCACACATCTCATCTCAACACATCTCAACACATCTCAACACATCTCAACACATCTCAACACATCTCAACACATCTTCACGCATCTCAACACATCTTCACACATCTCAACACATCTCAACACATCTCAACACATCTCAACACATCTTCACACATCTCAACACATCTCAACACATCTCAACACATCTCAACACATCTCAACACATCTCAACACATCTTCACACACATCTCAACACATCTCAACACATCTTCACACATCTCAACACATCTCAACACATCTCAACACATCTTCACACATCTTCACACATCTCAACACATCTCAACACATCTCAACACATCTGCACACATCTCAACACATCTCATCTCAACACATCTCAACACATCTCAACACATCTGCACACATCTCACCACATCTCAACACATCTCAACACATCTCAACACATCTTCACACATCTCAACACATCTCAACACATCTTCACGCATCTCAACACATCTTCACACATCTCAACACATCTTCACAATCTCATGGGCAACACATCCCAACACATCTCATTACATTCAACACATCTCAACACATCTCAACACACCTTCACAGACCTCAACACATCTCAGCACATCTCAGCACATCTCAACACATCCCAACACATCAACACATCTCAACACATCTTCACGCATCTCAGCACATCTCAACACATCTCAGCACATCTTCACGCATCTCAACACATCTTCGCACATCTCAACACATCTCAACACATCTCAACACATCTTCACACATCTCAACACATTTCAACACATCTCAACACCTCAACAAATCCCAACACATCTCAACACATCTCAGCACATCTCAACACATCTTCACACATCTCAACACATCTCAACACATCTTCACACATCCCAACACATCTCAACACATCTTCACACATCTCAACACATCTCAACATCTCAACACATCTCAACACATCTCAACACATCTCACAACACATCTCACAACACATCTCAACACATCTCAACACATCTTCACACATCTCAACACATCTATCTCAACACATCTTCACACATCTCAACACATCTCAACACATCTCAACACATCTTCACACATCTCAACACATCTCAACACATCTCAACACATCTCAACACATCTCAACACATCTCAACACATCTCAACACATCTTCACACATCTCAACACATCTCAACACATCTCAACACATCTCAATCACATCTCAACACATCTCAACACATCCCAACACATCTCAACACATCTCAACACATCTTCACGCATCTCAACACATCTCAACACATCTTCACACATCTCAACACATCTCAACACATCTCAACACATCTCAACACATCTCAACACATCTTCACACATCCCACAACACATCTCAACACATCTCAACACATCCCACAACACATCTCAACACATCTTCACACATCTCAACACATCTCAACACATCTCAACACATCTCAAACACATCTCAACACATCTCAACACATCTCAACACATCTCCACACATCTCCACACATCTTCACACATCTTCACACATCTCAACACATCTTCACACATCTCAACACATCTCAACACATCTCAACACATCAACACACATCAACACACAGCTGTCACAGGCTTCTTATTTTGTGCCTCCTGTACGTCGATTGGGACAGTCAAAGGGAAATCCTCAATGATTTTTCCCAGCCTCATCAAACATAGCAAATTTAGAGGCTCAAAACGCTCTAAAGCTAAATTGAAAACAAATAGTGAGAGATTGAATTAATCATAGCAGAGTCCCTATCGACATCAGAGTTTGTCCCGGGCTTCGCACAGCAGGTCCCTTGTGTTGTGCACTTTTGTCTGCATCAACACCTGAAGCACTCAAAGCATTTGCACAGTTTTGAGAGTTTGGGATCACTGGCACTGAAAAATCTGAGGTGCTCAGGTGCTCAATATCTGGATGCGCTGAAACGGCCACAAGTGGAATCAAGTGGAATGGCTTCTGAAGCTTTGCCGCTTGGAAAAGAAATGCCTGCTCCAGCAGAAAAGGAAGTGGCACTTCACTGGTGTCCTTGACTTTGAGTCTCTCCAAAGCTGACCGGAAGCATACGAAGCATAAACCATGCATAGACCAAGCATAAAGCAAGTATAAACTTCAATTTTGAACCTTTTGTGTCTTCTGTAAGATTCTGTAAGATTCTGTACGTCTTTTTGAATTTGTCAGGTCGTCCTCAAGTTTCAGCACCATATCAAAGTCGGGTCGTTCTTTGCTTAGCCAGGCCTTGGAGGAGGAAAGACTTTGGACGGACCAAAGGATCCAAGGTTTCATGAAGTTTCATGAGTCTCATAGTGAATTCTTTGCACACAGACTACTTGCACTACCTTCCAGTAAAAGATCACTTTGTGGGCCTTTTAGAACCCTTTTGCCTGACCTTATTTTAGATTTTTTTGCCTGACCTTGTTTTAGATTTTTTCCATTGTCCTGCTCCCAAGTCTTTCCAGAGTCATGTCGTGGTCAAAGTTCGTTCTGTGGCGTGCCAAGCTGTGGAGCAGTCGCAAAGCTGCAGGCGAAGGCCTGTGAGACAAACGAAAGTCCAAACTTAGCGAAGCGTGTGCAGACTTGTGCAACTTCGCTCAAAAAACAAAAACAGAAATTCAGGTTGCTTTTTGCTAGAGGGAAGGTGCTTAGAGGGGCTTTGCACATGAAGGTTCGACGTAAAAGCCTCGACCGTCTATTGACCGTCTATGACCGGCTTTGAACCACCTTATCCGCCTCTTGACATGATCTTGACTGTGGCTCACCTGTGCAGGACTTGCAGTCCCAAGGATGTCTCAGCTTCTGCCTGGCACGTTCTGGTGGCATACGCTTTCTCTATCTTTCTCTTTTCTTACCGTATCTTTTTTGCAAATCCTTTCAATTTCGGATTCACAAGAGCTCTTCACCCCTTTTTCCTCCTTTTTATCGCATAGCTCGCAGCGCAGGGATGGCATTGGCAGTGAAGTCTGCTAGCGGTGTTGGCAAGGCCTTCCAAGGTCAAACTTGACCAGACAATGAAGCATTCTGAGACCATGGAAAGCTCCAATCTTGCACATTCAAACTTGTTGCAAGCTGCACCTCCAAATCAAAGAAACCAATGTCATCGTGCTTTGCCTGGCGGAGCAAGGTGACCCATCTCTATATTCCTGCACGAATGCAGATTGCTACAATCTCTACTTGGACTTCTATGACATTTGATGACAATTGATGACAACTGTGGCCAGTCTGAAGGACGCAGGACAATTCAACACAAATAATCATCAGACTGGCGAGAAATTCATGGGAGAATGTCATCAGTCTTTGTACAGTTAAAGACAATGAATGCGAGAAATCAATCATCAGCACAAAGGATTCCATCAGTTTTCTTCGGTTGGGACTCTTTGAGGGCTGGACTGGCTCCATGTTCTTGGCATCTTCTGCATGGCAGCCGGGTGCCAATTCAGCAGTGTAGCCTGTCGCAAAAGAAAGGGAAACTGCAGATGTCACAATGTGAAAGACATCTCTTCATTGCACCACTGAAGGAAATCTCCAGTTCCACCCATTAAAAAATATATCTCAAGCCTATTGACACCCAGTGGCTTCCGCCAGATGGTTCGGATGTGACCTGGGACCAGAAATTGAAACGAGGTTCACAATATCCGAGCGACTTCAGTTGAGACGCTGTCATACTTCTACTGTTTCAAAAGCAAGAAACATCAACCAGCATTGAATCGTGCAAATCAAACATTGTGAAACCATTGTGTTTGAAGCAGTAGGGTGTTGGCATCGAGCAGTTGAGGCTCAGCGATCTCCAGGTTCGTCTCTTCCCTGGAAAGAGGAAACGAAAAAATTGGAAAAAATAAGAAAGGATGAGAAAGGAAAGCAAGTGAAAGCAATGTGGAAACACCGGAAGTCACCGGCACCGATGGGCCCCATGCCATGTGCAGTGCCTAATCTCTCGCGCCAGTGCGGCTTCACAGCTTTCACCAAAGTCTACGGCACCTCCAGGCCTTCGACCAGCACAACCAGCACATGCAGCACGATGCAACACCCAAATTGCACCAATCCTGTACCAATCCACCATTTTGCTGGAAGATCTTTTTGATTTTCTATGCCACGTGTGAAAAGTTGAGGCATATTTTCCATATAATTTGGAGAAATGACTCAAGAACCTTGTGCCGTTTTTGACAACCTGTGATAACCGTAACGGTAAACCGTAACACGGTTGCTTGTAGCGAGGCCTGGCCCAGGCGCCTGGTGCCGTTCTTGCTGAGCTGCTGCGTTTTAGCAGCAGCACCTGGAGTTGAACGTATCTTCAAATGAACGTATGTTGAGAATATATATATACATATGTATGTGTATAAAAAATATATATAAATAAATTATATACATATATATGTACATACTAAACAACTATTTATCTATCTATCTATCTATCGTCATCGTCTATCAATATCTATCAATATCTATCAATATTTATCAATATCTATCAGTATCTATCAATATCTATCAATATCTATCATTATCTATCATTATCTATCTATCTATCATTATCTATCTATCTTTCTATCTATCTATCTATCTATCTATCATTATCTACCATTCTCTATCACTATATATCATTATCTATCATTATCGATCATTATCGATCATTATCGATCATTATCGATCATTATCGATCATTACCGATCATTAACTCTCATTATCTATCATTTTCTATCATTATCTATCATTATCGATCATTATCGATCATTATCGATCATAATCCATCATTTTCTATCATTCTCTATCATTCTCTATCATTCTCTATCATTCTCTATCATTCTCTATCATTCTCTATCATTCTCTATCGTTCTCTATCGTTCTCTATCATTCTCTATCATTCTCTATCGTTCTCTATCATTCTCTATCATTCTCTATCATTATCTATCATTCTCTATCATTCTCTATCATTCTCTATCATTCTCTATCATTCATTCTCTATCATTATCTATCATTCTCTATCATTCTCTATCATTCTCTATCATTCTCTATCATTCTCTATCATTCTCTATCATTCTCTATCATTCTCTATCTATAATTCTATCTATCTATCTATCTACCTATCTATCTATCGGTCTATCGGTCTACCGGTCTATCGGTCCATCGGTCTATCGGTCTATCTATCTATCTATCATTATCTATGTATCTTTATCTATCTATCATTATCTATCTATCATTATCTATCTATCATTATGTATCATTATCTATCTATCATTATCTACCACTATCTATCTATCTATCTATCTAATCTATCTATCTATCTATCTATATCTATCATTATCTATCTATCATGATCTATCAATCATTATCTATCAATATCTATCTATCATTATCAATCTGTCATTATCTATCTATCATTATCTATCTATCATTATCTATCTATCATTATCTATCTATCATGATCTATCTATCATGATCTATCTATCACTATCTATCTATCACTATCTATCTATCACTATCTATCTATCATTATCTATCTATCATTATCTATCTATCATCATCTATCTATCATTATCTATCTATCTATCTATCTATCATTATCTATCAGTATCTATCAATCATTATGTATCATTATCTATGTATCATTATCTATCTATCATTGCCTATCATTATCTATCATTATCTATCATTTTCTATGATTATCTATCATTATCTATGATTATCTATCATTATCTATGATTATCTATCATTACCTATGATTATCTATCATTACCTATGATTATCTATCATTATCTATCATAATCTATAATTATCTATCAGTATCAATCTATCTATCATTATCTATCTATCTATCTATCTATTTATCTATCTATCTATCTATCTATCTATCTATCTATCATTATCTATCATTATCTATCATGTTCTATCATTACCTATCATCGTCAAACATTATCTATCATTATCTATCATTATCAATCAATCAATCTATCTATCTTTCTATCTATCTATCATTGTCAATCTATCATTACCTATCATTATCTATCTATCATTATCTATCTATCCATCTATCAATCTATCATTATCTATCATTATCTATCATTATCTATCATTATCTATCATTATCTATCATTATCTATCATTATCTATCATTACCTATCATTATCTATCATTATCTATCATTATCTATTATTATCTATCATTATCTATGATTATCTATGATTATTTATGATTATCTATGATTATCTATGATTATCTATCATTATCTATCAATATCTATCATGATCTATCATGATCTATCATGATCTACCATGATCTATCATGATCTATCATGATCTATCATGACCTATCATGATCTATCATGATCTATCATGATCTATCATGATCTACCTATATGTATCTATATATATCTATATCTATCTATATCTATCTCTATCTATCTCTATCTACCCCTATCTATCTCTATCTATCTCTATCTATCTCTTTCTACCTCTTTCTACCTCTATCTATCTCTATCTATCCCTATCTATCTCTATCTATCTCTATCTATCTCTATCTATCTCTATCTATCTCTATCTATCTCTATCTATCTCTATCTATCTCTATCTACCTCTATCTACCTCTACCTATCTCTATCTATCTCTTTCTACCTCTATCTATCTCTATCTATCTCTATCTATCTCTATCTATCTCTATCTATCTCTATCTATCTCTATCTATCTCTATCTATCTCTATCTATCTCTATCTATCTCTATTTATCTCTATCTATCTCTATCTATCTCTATCTATCTCTATCTATCTCTATCTATCTCTATCATTCTCTATCTATCTCTATCTATCTATATCTATCTATATCTATCTATTTATCTATCAATCTATCAATCTATCTATCTATCTGTCTATCAATATCTACCTATCTCTATCAATATCTGTCAATATCTATCAATATTTATCAATATCTATCAATATCTATCAATATCTATAAATATCTATCAATATCTATCAATGTCTATCATTATCTAACAATGTCTATCATTATCTATCAATATTTGTTAATATCTATCATTCTCTATCACTATCTATCATTATCTATCATGATCTATCATTATCTATCACTATCGATCATTATCGATGATTATCGATGATTATCGATCATTATCGATCATTATTGATCATTAACTCTCATTATCTATCATTTCTATCATTATCTATCATTTTCTATCTATCTCTCTATCTCTATCTATCTATCCTTATCTATCATTCTCTATCATTCTCTATCATTCTCTATCATTCTCTATCATTCTCTATCATTCTCTATCATTCTCTATCGTTCTCTATCGTTCCCTATCATTCTCTATCATTCTCTATCGTTCTCTATCATTCTCTATCATTCTCTATCATTCTCTATCATTCTCTATCATTTCTATCATTCTCTATCATTCTCTATCATTCTCTATCATTCTCTATCATTCTCTATCTATCGATCTAATCTATCTATCATTATGTATCTATCATTATGTATCTATCATTATCTATCTATCATTATCTATCTATCATTATCTATCTATCATAATCTATCTATCTTTACCTATCTATCATTATCTATCTATCACTATATATCTATCATTGTCTATCAACCATTATCTATCATTATCTATCTATCATTCTCTATCATTATCTATCTATCATTCTCTATCTATCATTCTCTATCTATCATTATCTATCTATCATTATCTATCTATCTATCATTATCAATCTATCATTATCTATCTATCATTCTCTATCTATCATTCTCTATCTATCTATCTATTTATCTATCTATCTATCTATCATTATCTATCTATCATTATCTATCTATCATTATCTATCTATCATTATCTATCTATCATTATCTATCTATCATTATCTACCACTATCTATCTATCTGTCACTATCTATCTATCACTATCTATCTATCATTATCTATCTATCATTATCTATCTATCATCATCTATCTATCATTATCTATCTATCATTATCTATCTATCATTCTCTATCTATCATTCTCGACCTACCTATCATTATCTATCAGTATCTATCAATCATTATCTATCATTATCTACCACTATCTATCATTATCTATGATTATCTATGATTATCTATCATTATCTATCATTATCTATCATTGTCTATCATTATCTATCATTATCAATCTACCTATCATTATCTATCTGCCTACCTATCTACCTATCCCTATCTACCTATCTACCTATCTATCTATCTATCTATCTATCTATCATTATCTACCATTATCTATCATGTTCTATCATTATCTATCATTTTCCATCATTATCTATCATTATCAATCTATCAATCTATCTTTCTTTCTTTCTATCTATCATTATCCTTCTTTCTTTCTATCTTTCTTTCTATCATTATCTATCTTTCTTCCTATCTATCATTATCTATCTATCGTTATCCATCTATCATTATCTATCTATGATTATCTATCTATCATTATCTATCTATCATTATCTATCTATCATTATCTATCTATCATTATCTATCTATCTATCTATCTATCATTATCTATCTATCATTATCTATCTATCATTATCTATCTGTCTATCATTATCTATCATTATCTATCATTATCTATCTATCTATCTATCTACCTATCATTATCTATCATTATATATCATTATCTATCTACCTATCCATCTATCAATCTATCTATCATTATCTATCATTACCTATCATTATCTATCATTACCTATCATTATCTATCATTATCTATCATTACCTATCATTACCTATCATGATCTATCATTATCTATCATTATCTATCATTATCTATGATTATCTAAGATTATCTATGATTATCTATGATTGTCAATGATTATCTATGATTATCTATGATTATCTATGATTATCTATCAATATCTATCATGATCTATCATGATCTATCTCTATCTATCTCTAGCTATCTCTATCTATCTCCATCTATCTATCTATCTATCTCTATCTATCTCTATCTATCTCTATCTATCTCTATCTTTCTCTATCTATCTCTATCTTTCTCTATCTATCTCTATCTATCTCTATCTATCCCTATCATTCTCTATCTATCTATCATTCTCTATCTATCTATCATTCTCTATCTATCATTCTCTATCTATCATTCTCTATCTATCATTCTCTATCTATCATTCTCTATCTATCATTCTCTATTTATCATTCTCTATCTATCATTCTCTACCTATCATTCTCTATCTATCTATCTATCTATCTATCATTCTCTATCTATCTATCATTCTCTATCTATCTATCATGCTCTATCTATCTATCATTCTCTATCTATCTATCATTCTCTATCTATCTATCATTCTCTATCTATCTATCATTCTCTATCTATCTATCATTCTCTATCTATCTATCATTCTCTATCTATCTATCATTCTCTATCTATCTATCATTCTCTATCTATCTATCATTCTCTATCTATCTATCATTCTCTATCTATCTATCATTCTCTATCTATCTATCATTCTCTATCTATCTATCTATCTATCAATCATTCTCTATCTATCAATCATTCTCTATCTATCTATCTATCATTCTCTATCTATCAATCATTCTCTATCTATCTATCATTCTCTATCTATCAATCATTCTCTATCTATCTATCATTCTCTATCTATCTATCATTCTCTATCTATCTATCATTCTCTATCTATCTATCATTCTCTATCATTCTCTATCATTCTCTATCATTCTATCTATCTATCTATCTCTATCTATCTCTATCTATCTCTATCTATCTCTATCTCTCTCTATCTATCTCTATCTTTTTCTATCTATCTCTATCTATCTCTATCTATCCCTATCATTCTCTATCTATCATTCTCTATCTATCATTCTCTATCTATCATTCTCTATCTATCATTCTCTATCTATCATTCTCTATCTATCATTCTCTATCTATCATTCTCTATCTATCATTCTCTACCTTTCATTCTCTATCTATCTATCTATCTATCTATCATTCTCTATCTATCATTCTCTATCTATCTATCTATCTATCTATCATTCTCTATCTATCATTCTCTATCTATCTATCATTCTCTATCTATCTATCATTCTCTATCATTCTCTATCAGACTCTATCATTCTCTATCATTCTCTATCTATCTGTCTGTCTGCCTGTCTGTCTATACGTTACTAACTTGAGAAGGGGTGACACGAAAGGTAGTTGTGTCAGACGTTATAACTCTGATTGTCGATGAGATGTGACTCCAGCTTGGGTGGTTCATGAACCGTGGACGGGCATGAAACTGGACATTCATAGCTGAACGGAGATATCTGGATCCGAAAAGAGGGCACCCCACGATTGCCATGGTTGATCAGCACTTAGTCTATTTAAAGAGCCATTTGAAGGTATATTGTCTGACACACGCATCGTGCGGGGAAAAAAAACGCGGTCAGTGTTAGCACAAACCCCAAAGTCGCTTTTGCGGTACCTATGGATGCTCGAACTTGTCACTTTCATCGCACCGCTGGGTACGGGGCAAATGGATGTCGAAAAATCCGAATGGCAAGTCGAAAGATGATGATGATGATGATGATGATGATGATGCGGATGATGACGATGATGATGATGATGCTGATGATGAGACACTGCGAAGGGGCTGCTGCGTGAAGAGACGCACAAGGCATGTGACGAGAGTTCACTTGGGGGTGGGCATGGAACTGGACATTCAGAGCAGAGCGGAGATATTTGGATCCGAAAAGAGAGCACCCCACGATGTCCATGGTTGCTCATCACTTAGTCCATTTAAATAGCCATTTGGAGGTATACATTGTCAGACACACGCATCGTGCGGGGAAAACAAAACACGGTCAGTGTTAGCACAAACTCCAATGTCTCTTTTTGCGGTACCTATGGATGCTCGAACCTGTCACTTTCATCGCACCGTTGGGTACTTGGAAAATGGATGTCGAAAAATCCGAATTTAAAGTCGAATGATGATAATGATGAGGAGGATGATGATGATGATGTTGATGATGATGCTGATGGTGATGATGACGAGACACTGCGAAGGGGCTGCTGCGTGAAGAGACTCACCGGGCATATGGTGAGGGTTCCCTTTGAGGGGGGGGGGGCTCTGATTGTCGTTGTGATGTGACTCCAGCTTGGGTGGTTCATGAACCGTGGACGGGCATGAAACTGGACATTCATAGCTGAACGGAGATATCTGGATCCGAAAAGAGGGCACCCCACGATTGCCATGGTTGATCAGCACTTAGTCGATTTAAAGAGCCATTTGGAGGTATTTTGTCTGACACACGCATCGTGCGGGGAAAAAAAAACGGTCAGTGTTAGCACAAACCCCAAAGTCGCTTTTGCGGTACCTATGGATGCTCGAACCTGTCACTTTCATCGCACCGTTGGGTACGGGGCAAATGGATGTCGAAAAATCCGAATTGCAAGTCGAATGATGATGGTGATGAGGAGGATGATGATGGTGATGATGATGTTGATGATGATGATGATGGTGATGATGACGAGACACTGCGAAGGGGCTGCTGCGTGAAGAGACTCACCAGGCATATGGCGAGAGTTCCCTTTGAGGGGGGGGTGAGGGGGGGGGGTCCCTTTCTCCTGGTCGTTCAGGGATAAGGGGTCCAGCCCGCCCCTTTGCTTCAAAGTAAAACTCAAGGTAGCCCGCTAGGAGGCTACCTTTCGTGATATTCACGCATAATGCCTGCAACAAGTAAAAAAAGCAAACATCAAATGACCAGACGGTGTGAACTATCTGAAAGCGGAGGAAACAAAGAGGTTGGAAGAGCTTGAAGAACCTACTGTCCATGGGTCCATGGAGCCAAGACTCGAAAACAGCCCGACTCCAGTGTCACATTATGTCACATTAATTTTCGAGCCACTCGCCCGTGCTCATCAAAAATGAACGCGCCAACGCCAACACCTACAACAGCTGATAGGTGGATCTGTGTCTGATGAGATCATTGAATCACTGCTCGATCTGTTGTAACTTTTTGCACGATCTGTGTCAATCTGTTTTGAACATTTTTGAACATGAATCAACTCATGTGATTTGCCCAGATTCGCCTGTGAAGTCTTTGCCAGGTTTTAGGCTCGACATGAGGCGTGCCCCAAGTCCCAGGATTGCTATCACAAAGCAAATCAGCCAGCGGGAAACGGAGTGGATCTTACGGATCCTAGCTCTTATGGCTGGCATCTGAAACGCAAACGGCTGCGAAGCTGGCTTACTTTCAAAAAACAACGACAGCACTCACTTGGCACAATCGGTTGAATCTTCATGCAAACTATCTTCATTGACTTATCTCTCGCACTCTCTTCTGCCCTCAGCTTTTTCTGTCCAGCCGTCTTAGCCGAATCAGAACTCATCGACTGTTGCATCTGGGCGCAGAACATCAAATCGCAAAATGTCTGCCACCATGCTAGGTTTAAGCATGTTCAAACCGTGCCTAGACAACCAGGAAAGTGAAGCAGTCTTTCCCTGATCTTTCACTTGGATCTAAGCTTCATTTGGCCTTGTTGTAGTCTTTTCAGTGCTGGTAATTTGCAGATAACTGAGATGCAGAAAAGATGAAATGCTGCATTCTCAGAGTTTTCAATGCTGGCCTGTTGAGTCCCAACAGCTTTCATAAAGCCTTGGAGCATGCAGAGAAATATCTTGCTGGTGGGATTTCACATGTTACATGTCACTTAAATTGTAGCGAAGGCCAATGAACTGCCCCGGGAGAAACATGTGATTCGGAATGGCGGCTGTTGGTGCAACCAAGACGCATTAGCTCTGGCCTCAAAACACGTTCATCGTTTACAAATACCAGAAACTGAACAAAATAAAGGCGAAACATTTCAAATGTTCGAAGGAGCTGACACAGCCTTTTTCACAACAAGTTGCAGTGCTGGAGGAAGAGGCTCATCCTGAAAGTGTCTCAGTACCTGCAACGGAAACAACACGAAGCCGAAGAGACACCAAAGCTATCATGTGATTCACCATGGACAGGTTGACAATAGGCATCACATGGCATGATCTCTCTGCTTGTCTCTAAAAATTGCCGTGTGGCCTGTTTTTGGACTACTTGAGACTTTCTCTGGACCACTGGAAGCATCCGAAAATTCCTTGGTGCTCTACTTCTGTGTCTTTTCCAACTTCAGTTTCACTTCTCAATGTGAGACTAAAGAACATGGCAATTTAAAACATGTACTACAGAGTTGGCACAGCAAAGAGATACGGCGGTCGCTGCAATGCCTCTTCTGCACTTTGCCACTCCAAGCTCTGGCGCCGCTTTCCGCTGGGCACCACTCGCCAATTGGGGGAGGCCTCAAAGCAGCGTCACAATGTGGTCAAATCGCCTTTGAGAACGAAATACCAGGAGAAAGCGCAACGCGCGCAACGCGCGCAACGCTTTGAACTAAATCAATGGCAATTTGATGCTGAACATCCACAAAGAATCTGAAAATGATTACTTTTTGTCTGCACTAAACTTGAAAGAAACAGTGCCTGCCGCTTCAACCAGTTGAAGTCCTGTACTTCGGACCAAGCGCTTGCCTGCCAATCGAATGGCAAAACACTGCTTAGCACCTGGTGGAACTTTCCAAGCTTAGCATTCCGACATGGTCTTTCCGACATGGTCTTCCACATTTCCACAAAGTTTTTGAGTTTTCAATTCAGGTGCCATGAAAGCAACATTTTTTCACCGAAACGGTGAGATCATTCCGTTGCCTCGACTCCCAAGGAGGCTTGCTGCAGAAGCTCCGGCACTGAGACAGAAACTTGACAGAAACGACAACATTTGTGACAATGATCAAATGATCAAACAAACTCCAATAAATTCAATAAATCTCAAGCATGTCTTTAATTAGTCTTAAGTGTTACAAACTTTATGGATCTTTATGGTCTGTGTAGTTATTCCTGTTCCCGCCTTCTGGCCAGTGCAAGTCATTTGGGGCAAATGCCACATGCTGACAGTGTTCTATGATGGGCCCCGACCTGTAGCACAGTGCTTCTCGCCAGGATCATTGACTTGACATGAAGGTGAATGGAAACTTCGCTGTCTGACATTGGCACCCTCCCACTTTGTGCTTCCCACGTATGATTTAATGTCCCTGCACAGCACAGGAAAATGACTTCCCCAGCAAATCTTTTGGGTCACTTGATGGTACAACAGTGACGGAGTCATAACACATCAAAACTATTGAAAACTCCAGATATTGCTGTGATATGCAGCGACAAGCGACAAGCTGTGCAAATGCAAAGCGACAGCGTCTGAGTCGTGGAGCCGCAGTTGCTTTACCTCGAGGCTGAACGGAAGTTGAAAACCGCGGCAAGCAAATGCAAAGCAAATGCAAAGCAAATGCAAAGCAAACGCAAAGCAAATGCAAAGCAAATGCAAAGCAAATGGAAAGCAAACGCAAAGCAAATGCAAAGCAAATGCAAAGCAAATGCAAAGGAAAACTCTGCTTGGATCAATGCAGAAC